CCTCCCCTGCTCGCACTCTGTCTCTCTCTCTCTCAAAAATAAACTTTAAAAAAAAATTTAAAGTGCTAAGTGATTCCATGAAACCAAACAATATCCATATCATAGGAATTCCGGAAGAAAAGCAAGAGACAGGGACAAAAGGTTTATTTGAACAAATTATAGCTGAGAACTTCCCTAGTCTGGGGAAGGAAACAGGGATCCAAGTCCACGAGGCACAGAGAACTCCCTTCCAAATCAACAGGAACAGGTCAACACCATGACATATCATAGTGAAATTGGCAAACTACAAAGCTAAAGAGAGAATTCTGAAAGCAGCCAGAGACCAACCGTCCTTAACCTACAAGGGTGCACACACAAGGGTAGTAGCAGACCTGTCCACTGAAACTTGGCAGGGCAGAAGGGATTAAATGTGCCGAACAGGAAAAATATGCAGCCAAGAATCCTTTGTCCAACAAGGCTGTCATTCATAATAGAAGGAAAGATAAAGGCTTTCCCAGAAAAATAAGTATTTCTTCAGGGGCACCTGGGTGGCTCAGTCAATGAAGCATCAGCCTCTGGATTTTGGCTCAGGTCATGATCTCACGGTTTGTGAGTTCGAGCCCCACATTGGGCTATACACTGACAGGGCACAGCCTGCCTGGGATTCTCTCTGTCTCCTTCTCTCTCTGGCCCTCCCCCTCTCTTTCTCTCTCTCAAAATAAATTAATAAACTTAAAAAAATAAAAATAAAATAAATATACTTCTTCAGTCTCAGCCATATTTTCGGATGATTCTACCTGCATTTATACCATTAAAATGGATGTTAAATACTGCTGTGGAGTTATACTGTACCATTAAGAACTATTTGCTTTTAACTTTCTAAAGCATCCTGGAGAGTCTTCTACCCTGAGAATATTATTAACTTCATAGATAACATTTAAGGGTGTCACTATGCCAGCAAGGTCTTCCGTGATTTTCTTGCACGCCTGTATATTTTTGTTTCATAAATGAAACAACATGATATTTTAATATCTGATCCAGTGGCTCTCAGGGATAAGAACGCCTCAGTCACTGGATATGATCAGCTAGCAACTGGTGGACTTGTAAATACCTTCATGAGTATGAATAAATTTCAGATGAGATCCCCAACATTTAAGATACACAAACTGTTTTCAGTACCAATGCCTCACATTCGCTTTGATACTTACATTATACTCAGACACTACTCCTTTATAAACTTCATAAAACTCTTCAACGTTAACTCGATCCATGTTGAACTATATTGAAACAAAACAAAACAGAACAAAAGTCAACCAATAAAAGGACGCAAAATGTGCCACGCTTAGAACTCAACACTTAAGACCTCCTGGATGTATTTTCTTTAAAATCTAAACCTTGCGCAAATTAAATACTCTGAAAAAGTGTCGTTGAAGATAAACTCATCAACGATAAAAATGCGTAACATTTATTGAGCACTTGATATATCAAATATTGTTCTAGGACCTGCACGCCATCATCTCATTTAATCCCCTCAACAACCCCATGACATAAGTCACACGATGTACATAAGGGTTATGTAACCTTCAGATCTGTGTGTTCCATCTCAAGCAGTCTGACCTCACCTGTCATGCCCCTAGCCACTACACTATACCTCTCTTTGAATAAAGCCTCATTCTCCATGCACACGAAAAAATTTATATACAGTGTCATGTTGTTTACTGATAGATGAGCAGAAGCAGAACTATTACTAATGCAATGTACTTCCAATTTTGCAGCGGCCAAAAATAGTACCCTTTTCTCCCAAACATTTAGAAAAATCCCTACTTAGCATTTACACGAGTCGTCTGGAAATTGAAATTCAAACCGAATTGTAAGAGAATGCTTATAAGATAAATCTATAAAGACTCCTTCTTATCCAGGCTGGATTCAAATTTAATTAAAAATAAAATTTCATTAAGTTCTAGTGTTGGGGCACCTGAGTGGCTCAGTCGGTTAAACATCCAACGGTTGATTTAGGCTCAGGTCATGATCTCCCAGTTCATGGGATCAAGCACCGGGTCAGGCTCTGCACTGACAGTAACAGTCAAAATAAATAATAAACAAAAAATAAGTCCTAGGGTCTCAAGAACTAAGACCTTAATTTTTTTTTTTTAATTGGCTCAGAATTTAAAATTTTAGGGGCGGGGCGCCTGGGTGGCTCAGTCGGTTAAGCGTCCGACTTCAGCTCAGGTCACGATCTCGCAGTCTGCGAGTTTGAGCTCTGCATCGGGCTCTGGGCTGATGGCTCAGAGCCTGGAGCCTGCTTCCGACTCTGTGTCTCCCTCTCTCTCTGCCCCTCCCCCGTTCATGCTGTGTCTCTCTCTGTCTCAAAAATAATGTTAAAAAAATAAAATTAAAAAAATAAATAAAAAAAATAAAATAAAATTTTAGGGGCACCTGGGTGGCTCAGTCAGTTAAGCTTCTAACTCTTGATTTCAGCTCAGGTCATGATCTCATGGTTTGTGGGATGGAGTCCTGTGTCGGGCTCTGTACTGTCAGCAGGAACCCTGCTTGGGATTCTCTCTCTCCCTCTCTCTCTGTCCCTCCTCTGCTTGTGCACTTTCTCTCTCCTTCTCCCTCCTTCCCTCCCTCCCCCGCCCTCTCTCTCAAAATAAATAAACTTAAAAAAAATAGAATTTACAATTTTATTTTCTTCCCTATTTTGTTTCTTTATTGTTGCCAAAAATACAGATCACTAAGAAATTTCTGCCTGCCCAGGCAATAATTCACACTGGGAGGATTTATTTCATAGGCAACATAACTATAACAGTCAGTGAATTTTGTTTCGATTTCAGTGTTTTAGCCTACATTCCCACAACTTGTTGAATTTTTAATATAACAAAATAATAACAGAATATATAATTTAAATACTTATATTTTGTATTGGAAATTCCACGAGGCATTGTATAGGGTTATTTTAATTTAATTTGCAATTTATTTTAATTTTCATTTGATTTGTAAAATAATCCACTGAGGCAAACAATAATGTTCTCACTGACAGGCAGACCCACGAGTCTAGAGGGCAGCTGACCCATGATTCAGAAACAGAGCTTCCCAGGGCACCTGAGTGGTTCTGTCGGTTAAGCCTCCGACTTCAGCTCAGGTCAGGATCTCACAGTTTGTGAGTTCAAGCCCCGCATCAGGCTCTATGCTGACAGCTCAGAGCCTGGAGGCTGCTTAAGATTCCGTGTCTCCCTCTCTCTGCCCCTCCTCTCTCTCTCTCTCAAAAACAAACATTAAAATTAAAAAGAAAGAAAGAAAGAAAGAAAGAAAGAAAGAAAGAAAGAAAGAAAGAAAGAAAGAAAGAAAGAAAGAAACAGAGCTTCCTGACTCCCAGACTCAAGGGCTGTGATTGCCACTAAGCAACCATGCCTCCCCTATAGGTGCAATTAATCTTTTTTATTATTATTCTTGTTTTCACTGAGCACCTACTATGGCCAATGACCATGCTAGCTTGTAGGCCTAGAGTCAGATCAATATTTAAATCTAAGTTTGCTACAAAATACATACTTTTAAAACAGGCTTAGGTCCTACAGTCCTGTGAATATAACACCAATCCAATACTTTTAGAACGTTTTGCCTAACAATTTCTTCATAATCCTAGATAAGGTTCTTCAAATATCAACTCTGTCATTAGTCTCCAAGTTTTGCCCAATGACTGCAAACCAGTTGATATTTCTGACCTCTTTTTGGCTTGTAGGCATTCCTACTAATCAGGACACAAAGTGGTCAGAATCTTGGTTACTGCTCTGACCCCTGATTTTGGATGATCCTAAGACTTAAAAGAAATCAAAAGCAGTTCCTTTTCAGAAAAAGAACGTATAAATTATACATACATACATATATATATATATATATATGGAAAATCTCAGCTCCAAAGCTGGTAATTCACTATCAAAACAGCATAAACTTGCTGGCCTTGAAACACGGTTTATTGGATTCCTGTAACAATTGGTACCCAATTTCTTGTCAAGTGCATGGGTAAGCAGAGAACAAAGGTGTGAGCTCAAAAGTGGATGTTGTCTGTTCAGTGAAGGGCTTCCTACAAAGGTGTCCACAGGGCGATTCGAGAACAGCCGTGGGCCCTGCAGGTCCAATGGTGTGACCGCCAACAGAGGGGCTGAAATGCACTAACTCCAAAGAAGGTTCTGAGGGAAAGTCCAGAAACCAGCAAAAGGCCCTGGTTAGGGGGAAAAAAATCTCAACCGATTCTCCTTCTCCATTCTCTTCTCAGTCACCAATCCAGGCCACCAAAAATTCATTATAACTACTCAACTTAACACTATTTTTTGTTTGTAGGAACTACCTACATTGTTTCTGTCTATATTCATTGTGCAACTGAAGTCCCAGGAATTTTATAAACCGATTTTATAAGCTTAAATTACCCTTTGAATTTTAGTTCTCTCAGTGAAAGATTCTGTGGGTAAAATCATCTCAAAAACATTTTTTATTATAAGGTTATCAGGTTCAGTAACTATATCTTTTTATTTTTAATGTGCTGAGTTCACAAGTGCACAGAGAAAATTCAATGTAAAACATTTTTTAAAAATCTCTCAATAGGTTATGACTCACTGCAAACTACCTACCATCTGCATAGCTGAGATTTCAAAACCTGCATCCCGGATAGCCATAAGGATCTTTCCCAGGAGTCCTAAAAATACAGAACAAATGAGTGCAAAAATACAATACAATATTGCCAAGGCATTTTAGTTTCTTAGAAATGCAAATTTTCTACATCAGGGCACTTTGCTTACACTCTATATGAAGAAACCACTTATTTTTCTAAAGGAAACTAAATCCCTACTATTGAGCACCACATGTAATCATTTGATTTACCAAGTAAGTACTTCAGAATACCAACAATTATCCTGAAGACGATGTAAAGGATCTTTAAGGTATTATTTTGACTTTAAGACCCCTGAAGTCTAGTGATATAGGGAACATGCAAAATAAACCACTGACAATAACATTACAAAAAAAAAAAAAAGATGAAATGAAATGCCAAAGTACTGGGTATGGGAGTTCCAAGGATGAGGTCAAAGAAGAAAAATCAAATTATAACTGAAGGGTAGCAGAAGCTTTAAGGGGAAATGAAAGCATGAAATGGTACTTAAAGGCCGTAGATAGATGGGATTACGTGGGGACACAGGTATAAAAGGACAGAAGGCTCAGGTCTAAGAAAATGTGAGGGTGCTCACATGAGAGTAAGAAGTCAGAAAAAGAAAAAAAAGAAAACAGCTGAAAAGGAAAAGAGACTTCATTCAAATTGATGAAGGCCTTGGATATCAACATGAGGAACTGGGTCCTTATCCCACAGATCAGCACTTTTTATAATAGGGTCTGTAGATTCTGGGAGTCTAGGACTGGTTTTGAAATCCCATTAGTTTAGTATAAAAATCTTCTAAGCTTCTTTTTTCCAAGTCAACTAAACCCACACTCACACATGCACACCCCATCCCATATATTCTGGAACGACCTTGATGCTTACCTAGCAACCCAACATCACCAAAGAGTATCCGTTTTATTTACTTTTATTTACTATTTTACTGTAGCCAAGTAGTGCTATTATAATTGCAGCAGATTGAGGGATAGGAGGGGGAAAAAAAAAGACAACGATAGATCTATTTCTCAAATGATGCATTTGTACCAAGGGAAGACCAAATGATACCAGGGTGTATTGTGAAAAAAACAAAGGTTTCTCAGAAGTCTGAAGGGTAGAACAGGCCCACGCCAACTCACAGCAGTCTGCATCATATCGGCGTTGAGTTTCGTGACTGAGTTTTGTCAAATATCCTTTATCCAATCGGTGTTGTTAACTTAAATTTTATCCATTTTATAGTTTTGTTGGTGATGAATTTGTAAATTGCTTCAGCTGTACAGTTGCATGCACAAAGGTTTATATTTAGTTTTATATTTGGACATATTTAAGTTGCAGTATAATTACAATAATTTATGTCAACACTGGGGGTCCATCAGAACATTTTTCCTCCAGAGGAAACACTGCCAAAAGAGACGGAGAGTCACTGAAAATGCTGAGCAGAAGAATACAGGACAAATAGTGTTTTAGGAAGATTACCGATGTAATAATGACAGGCAATTAATTAATTAATTGTAATTAATATAAGACATTTCCAAACAAGAATTAACAGGACTAAATTGAACACAGAGCGTGAAGATGTAGAAATAAAGGTTTTGAGTCCAAGTGACTGAAAGGTTGATAGCATCTTTAAGAAGAAAACAAGTAAGAAAAACGAACTGATTGAGCTCCTGGGGAAGGACACCAAGATGGAATGATGGCCAGCTGACTGGTGAGCTGGACCCCGGCACTCCAGGGCTCCTTGCTCCCTCCCCCATCCTTGGAATGTGCATTCTGCTTGCCTTTCCCACTCCCAGAGGCTGCTCCAAGGACACAGCCTTGAGATAGGAATGTGGTGCTGAGAATACCTACATGGCATGCGTGACTGAACCCAGAAGGCCTCTATAGAAACTTTTTAAGATTTGGAAGGTGGATGTGGGATCCACTTGCCTGGCTGCTGCCCAACGCAAGCCTTGCATGTAAGTTTCCTTGCTTTCTGAAACTGCCAGCTGCCAATCTGGAGTGGCCTTCCTGTTTCTTCCGTCCCTCCTTATGACTTCAGGCGCCAGTTTCAGATTACACACTGAAAGCTGCCACGGAGGTTATGAACCAACAATTAAGGGGAAAGGCAGCAAATTATTCTGAACATAGAATCTTAGAACAGAACACTGATCAGTGTTTGAGAAGACAGCATATCCAGTAACTAAAAAATGATTGATGAATGAGTGAATACACTCCCTATTCCAAATAGGTGATAAGGGATTACATCCAATAGCTAGACAGGTAGAAGGCTAATAATGAGGAGTGAAGACAGGTTAGAGCTGAAATGAGGAGAACAGAGGTCTGCTGGTTTGACAAAAAGAAGAGGAAACGCAAAAACAAACCAAAACAAAAAAAAAACAACCTGGGAGGAATGATTTTTGAGAAAATATCTAAAGTTTGGGACTTAAAGAATGAAAATGAGTAAAGAAGGGTATGTAAAAAGAGATGTGCAGGAAATTAAAGAATAAAATATTACAGTAGTATTGCCATATCAAACAGAGGGGGAAATTCTTAGGATGGAGGGACAGTCCAGAATTAAAGGAGATTAAGGGCCCTGGGAATGTAGATAAAGCCTTCGGCATAAGCAGGATGGTATGCTGACATTAGAGACACTTGAAAGATATGTATTAAGAGTGTTAGGAAAAAGAAGTTAGATAACCCACTAAAAATCTGCACCAAAGACTCAGATGATATTGGATATGAGAATGTGAACCAGAATTCTAAGTCATTAATCAACAGGAAAAATATTAGTTAGGAAAGAAAAAATTGATTAACAATTATTGGGGACTGAGCTCTTTATTATGAATTGATACCACTTAATCCTTAAAGCAACACTCCTATCAGGTTTTGGAGGATCGATAACTTGCCTGAAATGATAATGTTAGTGTAATCTCCAAATCCCACTGTCTTTCTACAAGTTTAACGAGAAAAAGAAACGCATACGTGGAAGCCTGGTATGTAAAATTCGCTGGGCAATGTAACTCCCTAAGGCAAGGACCATGTTCATTTCAGCTCTCACTGTATCTCCAGCGCCCAGCGTAGTGTCCAACATGTAGTAGGTGTTGCACAAATACTGTTCACTGAATTCAGAAATAACCAAAGAAACAATCGCGGCTCTGCCTGGTGCAGACCTAAAGAACTCTAAGACTCTTCGGAGCAAACAAACACCAAAACACTTGAAAACACTGGAAAATTACAAATGGGTAATTAAAGTTAGAAAGAAGGAAAAGGATTATTTAAAAATGTTGGCTTAATGATCTGAGCGAAAAAGTGCACACTTATTTCATGCCATATACAAACAATAACCCAAAATATACTTAAGGTAATACAAATAAATAATACAAATAAATACAAATAAATACAAATAAATACAAAAAGCGGGGAGGAAAAAAAGGAGAGTTCTGTTTCTGCTATGGCTGAGTAGCTCCTATTGGAATATAACCTTCCCTCAGGTAATAACTATAAACTCTGGGGGGAAAAAACATAAGAATACAAGTACGTGGAGGTACTGAGTGGGTTCCCTGTTTTTGCAGTATTTAGGCTGAGGAGAAAGCCACGGTCTACACTGAAACTCTGATTGAAAACCCAGAGAAGTAGCAAATTTAAAGAACTAGAAGACAAGGTTTAGGCAACCATGGCCACTGGAAGGTGAGTAGACGGATAATCCCAGGAAAAAGAAAAGCCAGAGAAGAAAGCCTGACTTCTGTGTATAAACGTTGCTCAAATCTTGGGAAAACTGAAGCATTCAGGCATGAAGCAGACTCCAAAAAGCCCAGCTATGATTGAAAGGACTGAACGAGGCTTTGAGTTAACACCCACCACAGTGGGAACAGAGATTGCCGGATCAATTCAGCAAGTTTACTGGTTGCATTTAAAATATCAATATATCTTTCAAGAAGATGACAATATCCATAATTTTACAATATCTCATTCATAACGTTCAGGATATGATGCATAATTATTTGAAACACGAGGACACAGAAGAACATGACCTATTCCAAGACAAAAGAGAATCGATGAAGACCAACCTCGGATGATGCAGATGTTACAATTAAGAAACAAAGACTTTAAAGTTACCGTTAGAACTGCTTAGCGAATAAAAGAGAAATACACTCAAAATACATGAAAAGATAGGGAATATCAACAGAGATTAAGAACCACAAACAGGATCAAATAAAAACAATAAAAACGAAAAATGCAACATCTGAACTACAAAATCCACAGTAGGGACGTAAGAGCAGAATAAATTTAGACATAAAAAGAGTCGATCGATCTGAAGAGAGATCAACAGAAACTGTCCCATTTGAAGAAAGAACAGACAATTTTTGAAAAACAATGAACAGAGTATCAGGCTGAAGCAGTATAACATACATGTAACTGGAGTCTAAAATAATACAGAAAATATTTAGAGATATAATGGCTGAATTTTTTCCAAATTTGTTGACCTATTGAATCCACTGTGTGCTTTTTTAAACCAATCTCAAAGAAAAAAAAAAAAAAAAAA